TCAGAGACACTCTTTCTCCAGGCCTTCAGACCGAGATGACACTGGTAACTCAGGGGGTCAAATGTTCATCTCAGGTAGTTGTAATTGTCTCCACAGAAGCCATTTGCAGTGAGTCAGTCTCCTGAATTAAAAGCAGGAGATACTTTCAATGTAGAATTTCTCTGAGCTGACTGAAACTGGTTTTGTCTTCAGTTCCCTGGCAGCCCACAGAACTTGTACCAGCCTCCTGGATACATGACAGAAAGACTTGAAGTGGATCACCATAGTTCTTTGTTCACTTATGAAACAAAAAAGGCCCAAACAATAGGCCTCAAAGCACAGTTGACTTCTGAGTGAATTCCCTGACCAGCAACCAGCATCTTATCAGCATGAAATGCAACCCTGGGAACAATCCCTGAAAAGTGTAAGTAAAGAACGGGAAGTAACTATAAATCCCAAATGTAAAGAAAAATGGAAACTCCTCAGACATGCCCAGATCCTGGCCAGATCCATCCACGCCTGAGTGAGGCATGTCAATCTACCAGCTATCTCCCATGCATTTTGTATAGACTTGTTTGTTAAACTGCATAAAAGCCGGGCCCTCTCACAGCACAGACGCAGACCTCCCCTACGAGCGGACGCCCTGCGTGGGACTTCCCAGCTGCCGGGAAAGGCTCTGCGACCCTTCGCTGTGACGGGGCTCCCCAGCTGATGCACAGATCTGGATGATGGTAAAGTAGGAGGGCAACTGGTAATGGATCTTTCTTAATCACTATAGCCAGCTTTACGTAGTAATGACTAGGTGCATTACCTTGCTTATTTTTTCTGCTGCTTTAAAGTAAAGTAAAATAAGCCTATTTCTTTAGCTTGGTGTCTGTGTCCTTTGTGTTAACCCCATCAATTGGCAAAACAACTTATTAAAGTGCGCAAAGTAGACGTCAAAGCTTCTTTTCTTTATTTATGTGCATTTTCAGTTCAGTCACTGAAAATTAATGTAATCCATTATTCATCCAGCTCAAGGGCCAAGGGGATGAATAGATATGTAGGGGATTCTTATCGACAGAAGGAACCGTGGTGTCCATATCCATTACTGGGAGGAGAACCTGGTCCTCAGGCCATGCTGCTCATAGAGTGTAACTACTATGTCTCTGTTACTGCCTTTTTACAGGAGATGTGGTGACTTGAAGGCTGGAATTGCATGAAGATGCAGCTACTGTAGCACAAGATGACAGTGGGGAAGTGAGAGGAGTCTGTACAGAATGTCTTCTGCCACGAGAAAGCTGAGGGCTATGTAAGGATGGTGTTCATGGTGTAAAGGTAGGATGTTGCTGTCATGCCCGGTGAGCCAAGGAGCATAATAGATGAGGCCATGAAGGTGACCAGCTCAACAATCGGTGTTTCTGCACAAGACAGTTTGATCAAAAGCACACTGTCACAGAAGATATGGTCCACACAATTGGCATTGCAGAAGGGCACCCTGGCAGCCAGGACAGTGGAGGCAATGGTGTCTAGGAATCCCGAAGTCCACAAGCCCAACGGTAGCTGAAAACAAAGGTGACTGCTCATGAACATGGAGTACTGAAGAGGGTGACACAAGGCCACAGAACAGTCATAGGTCATGACAGCCAGAAGGACAAACTCGAGGTAGCCCAGAGGAGAGTAGAAGTAGCACTGAGTTCAGCAGCTTGGGTAGGAAGGGGTGTTGCTGCCCATCAGCAACTTTCCTCTGGCTTTGGATACAACGGATGTTGTGATGAAGATCTCCAGACAGGAGAGGTTACAGAGGAAAAGGTACCTGGGCCTGTAGAGGTCTCTGTCAGCAAGGACGAGGGAAACAATCAGCTAGTTTCCCACTAAGGTCACCAGGTACAAAGCCAGGAGAGTAATTGCCATTAGGTGTTCCTGATGGTGGAGGGAGGAGTAGCCAAAGAGAAGGAACTCTGTGACGGTCGTATGGTTCAACGTCTCAGCATCCGAGCTGCAATGAGTCAGGGCAGATGGTGACTGTGGGAAACAGCTTCAGGAGGTTAAAAGAAGATGAGACAGAGCAAAAGAATGTAGAAGGATAAGACATTCATACAGAGATTGAAAGGAGAACAAAAGAGAGGAGAGGAGAATTAGCCTAGTGCAAGAAGGCATCATTTTATGCACCAAACTTAGTATGGGGGTTAGAGTAGGAATCCACTGTAAACTGTATGTAAGTTCTTGTATTTGAGCTCTTTCCCCAAGAGTCACTTCAGAGTCAATGGAGAAAAAATAGAGATTTCTCACTTGTTTTTACTGTAGTTTATTTAAACATGTATTTTAGGCTGATCGAAAATTTATTGTAGTGAAATGGAAAACACGTCAGCGAAGTGGCTTTAGCCTTTTGATTAGGACAGAAACAGGGAGAAGGCGGCATGAAGATGGTGACAAACGCAGAGGTGTGTGGGAAGTAAAGGCAAGCAGGAGAGTTAGAGAAGAGGGAAGTTTTATTCCCTGGAAAGGGTTTGGTTTTCAAGGAAAACCAAAGCCCAACAGAGAAAAGAAAAACATGCTGTGTTTAAAATTATTCTGCTTTAAAGACTGTTTTTCCATCCACGGTTGACCTTTGACAGGTAGAACAGAAAAATTATAATGATTCTTCCTCAGCCAGTGACAACTTTCCACAGGGCACTTCACCTCACGGGTTTCTCAGTCACCCTTATCAGGCAGATGTTCCCAATGCACTCCAAAACCCTCCTGCATGGCTTGCACCTCACTATATTGCTTTTAATGTTTGCATGCAGCTGGTTCATCTTGACTGGGGCGTCTCTCACAAGAGAACAGTACGAGGAGTTGCAGGGCACTGCCAATACCCCTCCTGGAGGAACTGTGGCTTCTTGGGGATCTGGTACTGATAAAGCTGTAGGTCTGGGCCCAGAGGGGAAGCACCCCTTTGTGAGGGAGCTGCAGGAACACATTTAGCTCTACCTGGGGATGGACAGTGAGTCATCTGGGAGCTGAGGGGTCAACAGGAGAGGGGAGAACATCATAGGCACCACTGCGGTGAGTGGATGTCTGCTACAGATCTCCTGATCAGGAAGAGGAAGTAGATGGGGCCTTCTTCAGACACCTCCTCTCTGCTGACATCCCACCTGATCCGTACAGCAGTCGAGTCTCATTGCCAGCCCTTCCCAACCTGGGAGCTTGGGAGGTATTGTACAGTAGTCCTGCTCTTCGCATTGCTCATCCCCATTTAATACTACCCCAGGAAGACTCCTGAGCAATGTGAGAGGGACAGGATCTCCCATCCCAGGGGCTGGAGGTCAGCAATTTGCCCTTTCTCTTAACATAACACATCCATGTTCACACAGAATTTCTTCTTTTCAATGGCATTTGTCTACCGGACATAATTTTCTCTAGTTTTCTGATCTAACCAGCACCTGGGGAGTTTTTGTCAATAGTGTCCTCATTGGGAGCCATTAACAGTGCAGGAAACTTTGGAGTTTGTATCTGATACTGACTCCTTGAGAGGTTTCATCACCTACCTCTCAGTGCCTGAGGTCCATGGAGTTGGCACCAAACCCTCCTGGGGGGTCATTAAACTGCCTTGGGCTGTTGCTGTGGTGCTGAGCTGGGCCGGGCTCCTGGGCCGCAGGGAGCTCCTGGCAAGTGGGCAGCGCTGCAGAGAGACAGCTCTGCCCAGGAGCAGCTCCTCTGCAAAGCGCAGCAGGGCTGGGGGCACTGCCTGCAGGCACCCAGGGCAGAGCAGCGGGGCACACACAGCTTCAAGGCAGCCTGGGCTGGGAGGCTGCTGAGAGCTCCAAGGAGGAGAAAGCGTCCGGGCCCTGGCCACAGTAAGTCTGGGGGTGCAGGGCAATGCAGCTGCAGCTCAGGGAGGGATCTGGGGAAGGCAGCAGAGCCGCCAGGAATCTGCCTCCTGCCTAGAGGAGGAGGAGGAGGAGGAGGAGGTGCTCCCGAGCAGGGCTTCCCTGGTGCCCCCTGCGAGGGCCAGGGCATGAGAGCTGCCTTCTGGCGGGGCCGGCTGCAGGGGTGTGCAGCCGGGTGTGCAGGCAGGGGTGCCCAGGGCTGTCCATCCCAGCACGGTCCCTGCACCCCAGGGGGCTGTGTGCTGGGGCAGGGACTCTGCCGCCTGCCAGGGTCAGCACTCGGCCTGCCTGGGGAGCTCCCCACGGCGCTGTGGGGAGAAGCTGTGGGGGGAAGGAGAGACCCCCGCCGGGGCAGGGTCCTTCTGCTCTCCAGAGGCTGCTGCGTGGATCAGGGATGCTCACAGCTCCAGATCAGCACCAAGACACTGAGAGAGGCAGGTTTTTAAAAGGAAAGTTAAGGCAGGACCTACCTAAAAGATGGGGACATTTCCAGGGTCTATGAGCTCAGCTTTCTTCTAAGGGAAAGGGAAAGGAGCTGTCAACTTTGAAGAAGGCACTGACACTCCAGAACCGCTATACTATGGGATCAATAGAACTGCCAGAAACCTCATAAACTGCCTCATCTGTTCCTATACCTACAACTGCACCAGTATCTCCTTTGCTTGGAGAATCAATGCTTATCTCATCTACTCCTTAGGACTTGCACACACAGAGCTGCCCCTGGGCAGTGTCCTCATGCCAGGAGGGGTCTGCAGGGAAGGGCTGAGCACACAGAGAGTGGGTGGGGGCTGGCAGCACTGATAGGGAAGTGACATCAGGACAGAGAAGTGGCTCTTGGCAGGCACAACTCCAGACAGCAGACAGTCAGATAAACCCCCTTCATTCTCCTGACTCTGCACTAGGGTACAGGGACTCTTTTTGTGTGTCAGGGCTGCCCTGTGTTCAGTCTGAGTACAATGTAAAAGATGAGGATTTCTGCACATTCAAAGCATGTGCCTTCAGCACCAACAGAAACCTGAGCTCACCCAATTGGATTGAATGAATTTCCCCCCAAAGAACAAGAAATAACTTTGAAGTGACTTTTTGGGAAATAATATAAGATTCCATAAAAGAAATCTGTCCTAAATTGTCAATGTCTTCTCTTTCAATGCCCTTCCCTGCAGTGAGCAAATGTCTAACAGCAGCTCCATCACCGAGTTCCTCCTCCAGACATTTTCAGACAGATGGGAGCTGCAGCTCTTGCACTTCTGGATCTTCCTGGGCATCTACCTGGCTGCCCTCCTGGGCAACAGCCTCATCATCACCGCCATCACCTGTGACCACCACCTCCACACCCCCATGTACTTCTTCCTCCTCAACCTCTCCGTCCTCGACCTGGGCTCCATCTCTACCACTGTTCCCAAAGCCATGGCCAATTCCCTCTGGGACACCAGGGACATCTCCTACTTGGGATGTGCTGCACAGGTATTTCTGTTTGTTTTTTTCATTTCAGCAGAGTTTTATCTTCTCACCATCATGGCCTATGACCGCTACGTTGCCATCTGCCAACCCCTGCACTACGGGACCCTCCTGGGCAGCAGAGCTTGTGTCCACATGGCAGCAGCTGCCTGGGGCACTGGGCTGCTCAATTCTCTCCTGCACACTGCCACCACATTTTCCCTACCCCTCTGCCAAGGCAATGCTGTGGACCAGTTCTTCTGTGAAATCCCCAAGATCCTCAAGCTCTCCTGCTCAGACTCCTACCTCAGGGAACTTGCCATAATTATGGTTACTGCCTGCTTATTTTTTTTTTGTTTCATTTTCATCATGTTGTCCTATGTGCAGATCTTCAGGGCCGTGCTGAGGATCCCCTCTGAGCAGGGACGGCACAAAGCCTTTTCCACGTGCCTCCCTCACCTGGCAGTCATCTCCCTTTATTTCAGCACTGCCATGTTTGCCTACCTGAAGCCCTCCTCCATTTTCTCCTCATCCCTGGACCTGGTCGTGTCCTTTCTGTACTCAGTGGTGCCTCCAGCAGTGAACCCCCTCATCTACAGCATGAGGAACAAGGACATCAAGGATGCCCTGAGGAAAGTATGTGAATACAAATTATTCCAGCATTGATAATTTGACCACCATCGTCATATAATTCCCAGGAATTCAGTAAAATCTCATCCTATCTTTTGTTCTTCTATTTCATTATTTTCTATTTGTTTGTTAAACATAATATTAACTGTAATTATGTATTACTCACACAACTTCTTCTTAGTCTTAGAACTGTTTTTTTCTGTCTATTAAACCTAATGTACATAAGGAATCAGACTCTTTGCATAGCCAAAACACAGTCATATGCCTCCCCTCTCATCTCTCAGCTCTCCTCTGGAGCTTGGGGCCCAGCCCCAGCAGGCAGAAGGGGTTCAGGAGTCCAGGGCCCAGCTGCCCCATGGAGGAGCAGCTCCCATGGCCTCGGTGCCTTGGTGAACACTGCCTCTCTGCTGTTTGGAAGTTGAGCTGCTGCTTCCCTGGAGCCACGGCCAAGGACAGCAGCAGGACGTGGCCTTTGCAGTGCTGGGCTCTCCTCACTTCCACACCGTCCCACTGTGCCCTGGCATTTGTGTCACCCCCAAGCTCTTGTGTAGCTTCTGACAGTCCCCATGTGTCCACAGTGACATCCCTGTGGCTGCAGGCAGGAGCAGGCCATGGGAAGCATGGTGTCAGAGCTAACCTCCATGCCAGCACCCCATAACCAAAGGGGCTCCTCAGGGCAGGGACAGAAGGCTGGACACCTCTTCCAAAGCTGGTGATGGGAATACACCAAGGAACTGCTCTTCAAAAGGACTTCTGCTCTTCTAAGATTCTTAATGGCTTCTGGGACATAAGCTCAGTGTCCCAAGGTTACCTGTTAGGGACCAAGTGGTGGACAAAACCTCCCTTCTTGATTATGTATTTCCATGCAGGCATAACTGGTCTTTGATTTTTTGACAACAACCTTCCTGTTGCTATCCCAGCTACAGGGGCTGATGGCTGATGCCATCCTGGAGAGGTACTGGGAGTTTCCAGGAGAGCTCAAGTGTTCTTCAGGAACGATGTGTGAGTGTGCATGGGAAGTGAGTGGTACCTTCTACAGTGAGTAACCATCCAAGGAGGAGTCTCCTGGAGGAAAATGTGAACCTGTGGACACCATGGGCTAACAAGGGACCTGAAATTCCAGGAGAATTTGTGAGGAGCCAGGAGGCAAAGGGACAGCAGACTGGAGAGTGGTTCAAGACACTCTCTTGGAAAGCCCTTGGGCTGGATCGAGTGCAGCCCTCCCTTGACTTTTGTGCCATATGCCATGGTCCTGCCCAGTCCCGTCCTTGGAACTTGAGCCATCAAAGGAAGATGGAAAGGGCCTCAGGAGGAGGGAACCGAGTCTGGCTGGATCTATTTTGCACCGCCACTAGCACAGCCAGTGGAGGGTCACCTGGTGTCCCCAGGGCACCATAGTCCTCTTGCTCTGCAGAGCAGCACCACCAGCTTGGGGTCCTGCAGGGAGCCAGCAATGGCTGGGCAGGCCAGCATGGACATGGTCATGTGTAGGAAGGCTCTCTAGGGAGCAGGGATGGCTCTGGAGAAGAGCAAGGGAGCATTTATTTGACTGCAGGGAGGCATCCATGAAAAAAAGAAACCTTTTTAAGCATGCACCTTCTTGCAGCAGGATGGTCTGTCACTGTTCCTGTCACTGTTCCTGGACATTTGTGCTGGCCTGGGAGCAGAGAAGCTGGCTCTGAGAGGGCAGAGTCAGTCTGTGGGGGCATCTCCTGGACCTGAGACCAGGAGTTCTGCACTTTCACTGACCTCCATTGCCTCGTGCCATGGTGAGCCTCCATCCCTGGGGTGCTGGGGAGGAGAGAGCCCTCTCTGCCCCCAAGCAGCTGCTGTGCCCTTCAGAGGGTCTGGGGCTGTGGGGTGAGTGCCCAGAGCTCTGCAGCACCCTGAAGTCTAGACTGGGCTTCTCTGTGGGGCTGAGGTGGGGAGCAGGCAGGGGAGATGGGGAGAGCTGGGGAGGGGCTGCTCTGCGCTGGAATTCCTGGCAAAGGACACCACCAATTTTGACTGAGCTGTGTGACCATGCCAGGGGAGGACACGCTCCAGTGGGTGTGTGGGACAGAGCCCAGTCTTCTGGAAGGTAGCTCAGACATGCAGGTGTAGGAGACAGGAGGCTGTTCTGTGCCCTTGGTGGCATGGACAGACGGACAAGGTGTCCCAGGGCATTGATCACCCCACAATCTCCCATTGGCCATTTCCAGATTTGGCCAGTTGATCCAGTTTATGGGTGTTTTTGCTCTGTGGCCATCTCCTTCCTCCTGCTGGTCCTGGTGCCCATGTCAGGGGAAGAGCCAGCCCTGCCCCAGCCTCTCTTCTTGCCCAGACCTTGGCATACCCCAGAGCAGGGCTGTCTGTGAACCCTTGTGTGGGACACGGCTGGGGCTTGGGAGGCAGTGGGAAATGGGTGGGTTGCAAAAGCATGATGGCTGGTAGGGATGGACGCTGAGATCATGTCTAGGGGATCCCGTGGGGGATGTTTCCTCACTACAAATACACCCTGTCCTGTGCAGTGTCAGTTGAGGGGGGACTGTGGGGGCCTGTGTTGGGCAGTGGGGCTGCACTGGTGCAGGGATAGGTCATGGGTGGGAGCCACAGCCCAATGCTCAGGAAGTGGAAGCAAGGACAGGCGATGAAGGAGGAATTTAGAAATATGTTCTGAGCATGAGGGTATGTGTTTAGGAAAGCCAAAGCTCCCTTGGAGCTGATGGGGTCTGCAGGCAACATCCAGAGCCAAATGAAGAGCTTCAGTCCCTGCGTTCGCAGTAAAAGGCTGAACAAGGAACATGCCAGTTGCTGCTGAATGGGGAGGGGGTTTCACAGCAGCAGAGACAGGTGGGGATGAGTGAGTCAACACCTTCTTTGTTTTAGGCCTTACTAAAAAGGTCTCCCAGGCCTCTGCTCAGTGACAGGGCTCCTCTTGACAGGCTTCCTCAGCCTGGAGAAGGGATGGCTGAGGGGTACGTCGTAGCAAGGGGGGCCTCACCTTCCTCCCCATGAGGCTAGCCAAGCCTTGGAACAAGCACTGGCCACCCTGAGTGGCTGTGAAGTCCTCTATCCGTACAGGTTTTTGAGACCCGGATGGACCAAGCTCTAGGAAGCCAAGTGTCACCATATACCTGACCCTACTTTGAGCAGAGGGTTTTCCCATAGACCTTCTGAGGTCTATGCTGAGCCTCTGTGATCTTAACCTATGATGTCCTGTCTGATATCTGATCAGCTGATGACACAACAGATGTTTAGGGGGCCCGGATTCTCCTGTGTTTACATGATCAGCTAAGGCAAGTCAGGTGAACGTCTCCTCCACTCCACTGACTGCAAGGGGAGCTTGGAGGCACTGCTGCAGGCAGCTCTACATTACCACTGAAGCTCACTGCATCCAGCTTTAACACCCTCAAAGGCCATGGTCTGCACCCTGAAGCTCCTGCACATAGGGTTTGGGAATCAGGGAAGCTGAATGACACCTCTGACTTACATCCAATCCCAGTGTTCGTGGACAGCAAGGAGTTTCTGGTGTATTCCCAGTTCATGTGGACTCCACCCGCAGATGGGATTTGTCTCCCTTTGTTTCAGACAACCACTGTTTGGGTGTCTCTCCACTCTTGCTCATACGGGCTCTTCTTCCAGTTGACAGTGGGACTTCAGCCTCCTCTACTGTAATTTGCCCTCACAGCACTTTTAAATCACTTGGTTCCTTTGCACAGGTTCTTGGCTTCCAGGAACCTGATCAGCCCTCGCACAGCCTGGCTACTGGCTCACTGCTGGGCACTTCTCTCTGGGTGAGCCCCCTCCAAGGTGAAGTCCCAGGTGTGGTTCTGAGGTGACAAGTTGCTCGGTGCCAGGTGTGCTCCAGAGGAGATAGGGCTGAGCAGGGTGTCCCTGAGCGTGGCCTGCCCTCCTGCCTGCTGCAGCTGGTCGGGTGGCTGTAACAGAGGGTTCCTCAGAGCCAGCACCCAGACAGGTCCCTGGCACCTGCCCCAGCCCTCCCTTTTCTGGCACAGGCAGTCAATGACTGGCTAGGGCTGGACTCTGACACTCACGCACAATGCAGAACTGGATGAGGATGTGAGTGCTGAGAGCAGCCATGGCTGCGAAAAAAGACAATGTGCAGAATCACAGCCTTGCACTGCAGCACAGCACATTCACAGGGTTCAGTATCTGCTTGGTGGGATCCTGGAGAGCCAAGATCCATGGAGCCAAAGATCTTGGATCTTTGTGGACAACAACACCAAAGCCAACAAACACATCAGTCTGATGTGCTGGGAGTTGAGCAGGGCCTAGCTGGAGCATAGTAGGGTTGGGCAGGGGTTTTCTGGCTGAAGAGATCAAACACCAGAAGGCATTGTACAAGGGTGGAAGAGAGAACAGGTTGTCCAAGAGACAGATACAGAGATGGCCTTGGGGTACAGGGGTGGAGGCAGGAATGCCAAAGCTCAGCCAGAGCTGGAATTAGCAAGGAATGGGGATAGCAACCAGAAGGATTTCTCTGAATTCACTGGCAGAACAAGGAGTCAGCTTAGGAAAAGAGTCTCATGGCTCAGTGGGGCAGCATGTGTTGTGGCAAAGACCTGGAAAAGCTGAAGAAATCCTTGTTTTCCCATCTTCTTCTCCCTGTCAGATCTGCCACCATGACCTCCCTGGTCCCAACATCTGTGCTAGCAGGGCTGCCCCCATGGCAGAGGAAGATGTGTCTGGGGAGCACTTACAGAACTTGGGCACACACAGGTCCATGGGACCAGAGGGGATGTGCCCAAGGGTGCTGGGAGAGCTGGCTGGTGTTATTGCAAGGCTGCTCCTGGTCATTTTTGAAATGTCAGGGCAAACAGGGAGTTCTCTGGTGACTGGGAAAAGGCAGGCAGTGCACCGATTTTCATGCAGGGCAAGAACGAACAGCCGTGGAACCACAGGCTGGTCAGACACATCTCAGTCCCTGGGAAGGTGATGGAGCAAATTCATTCAAGTAGTTCCTTTGCCCACATCCATTAGCTTTTGCTCTCTGAGGTGCCCTGGTGTGGCTGAAGTACCCAGGGGGTGCTTGGAAGGATGACCCCAGACATATGCGAACTCTTCTGGAACATTCCCTGGTCACCAGGAAAAGATTCTCCAGAAACCTCTGTTGAGACAACTACTGACTCTCCATTGAGTAGAAAGGGAAGTCTAGACAACTTGATTTGACATGGACATCTGCACGGAGGTGTCTGATGTTGGGCGAGACCCGTTTCCACATTTTATTCACTTAAAAAGGAGGCACTCTTCAGTTACCCTTGTGGGAAATAAAAAGAGACTGTTCATGGATGATCCAGAGACCCCTTTAAGTAGACACTGTGGTACAGATGTGTTGAGACAAGTGAAAATCTGCCACCCAATCCCAAGGTGTTTCACTGATGTCTGTCACCCAGCTCCCCCGTATCGGGTGAGAAGGCCTGCCACCTTAGTGGGTGACTCTGTGCAGAGAGTGAGTAGTGGCCTGGATGCTTTTGGGTGGGGAACAGTTTTAGTGTGCTGGGATCTCTGCAAGACAGAAAAATATCTTTCTTTTATACTGCAGGTGTGAGTATGATAGAAATATTTAGAAGCTGTCAATAAAATGAATCAAAGAAGGAATTAGGAAATACGGAAAGCAAAGAATATGTTTTAACAAAATTTCAAATGTTTAAATTCTTTGTGCTCGTTTCCTCCTAGTTTATCTTTGTTTAGCTCCTGCCTTGTGTAACAGCAGCCAGTCCCAGGGAAATATATCAGGTACACCGGAGCGTCTGCAAGGGACACTCGATGTTCATGGTCAGACAGATGAACACCACTGAAACGGGAAGAACTGCCTGACACTTTAAAAAAAAAACACCTGATCATCTTCTCATTATCTGAGATGATTTAAAAATTTAATAAAGTGGTGATGTTTGTCCACCATAACTTCATGGGAATTTCTAAGAAGTGTATTAATTGCAGAAGAAATATGCTCCTTCTCCAGTGCTACCATTGCTAGGACTCTGACCAGGATACTGTGCCTTTAACCTCCCTAATTTTCCCACCTGTCCAGCTCTAAATCCAT